CATATCAATTTTTTTACCATCAGCCTGTAAAGTGAATTGGTTTTTATAATTATATAAATGATAAATTAAATAATAAAAAAGCGAGAGAGAGAGCAATAAAACTTACATCCATATGTATACCGTCAGGATTCTGTGATCTAACACGAGCACTGTGTAGATATATGATTAGAAAAAAGTTATTGATCGATGTTAATCAGTATATAGCAGAAATTTAGAGTTGAAGACATAGTTACTTTTGTTTAGATTTAGACAGTTTAAAAATATAATCACGCATTGCAGCTAGATTTTCCTCATCTGCATCGGACATTCCAAGATTTCGTAATTTATCTAAATACATCACATCTCTTTAAAAAATATCCAAACAGATATTATCAGATAAACAATAATCTCTAAAATCATAAATTGGCCGATTAATCAATAAAATACATACTCTTCGGATTTCATAACTTTTTCCGCGTTGACAGCTAGTGTTGATGACCTTCGCGATAACAATGCAATTGCAGAAACAGAGCCCGACGATAAACTCGATGAGTTTGCTTTGTTGTTTTTTCGTTCTCTTGCTTGTTTCCAAAATAGTGATTTATTCGTTGCCTTATTTGCCCATGTAAGTGCTTCGTCAAACACCACGCGTGATAGCTAATCAAATATCGACAAGATATTAAGACAAAATAGAATAGATAGTGGTTTTATTTAGATTATGATTTAGAATAATACCGGATCTTTGATGTTTTCCAAAAGTTGTATTTCGGATAGATCAATAACATCTGCCTGTAAAAAGGGTCGAATTATCGGATATACTATGCACCAGACATCAGTTACCGGTATTAATTTAGATGCTGACGATATGAAAGCTACTGCGCCTAGAAAAGCAAATCAACAAACTTATTTTAAAGCTCAAACTCCATATAAATAACCTTAAATCGTTTTTATCATCTTACCATATCGTATCCATATACTGGGATGACATAATAAAGAAGAAATAATTCCCACCAATTCCCATATCTTCATTTTCTGAAACAATCCGAGTTCAGCTAGGCTAGTAAGAGAATTTAAAACCTTCTCAACCACAAACTCTTCAGAATCTAGATGTAAATATAAAAGCATCAATTTCAAGATAATATGTAAAATCATCAAAAAATCAAAAATATATACCAGTTAGGGATTGAATCATTAACGGTAAAATATATTCTTCTAAACTACGTCCACCCACAAAAGTTCCCACTCCGATAATGCTTTCAAAGAAGGCGCTATTAATTAAAGAAGAAAATTAGATTATTTACGAGACGTAAAAACGATATATGCAATAAAAAAATTCAAAACTCAATTACCATTTAAGCATCCAATCTCGATCATTTAGATAGGTTATCATATGACTTAACAAAACATCATTCGCCTTCTGTCGACCAAAGAAGATGCAAAGGCTGGTAATATTCTCAAGTAATGCACGTTTCACAGCGCTTTCAGAATCGATTAAAAGAGTCGTAACTTGCTCTTGAATTAAAGATTGCAAATCATGAAGGTTTGCATCATAAGAAGCCTAAATAAAAGACTAGCGTATTAATAAGTAATTTATAATTAACCGGAACCATTTTGTTGAAATTGTTTACCTCATAGGTTCCCTCGATTTCGTTGTCTGTTTCCAGTGTAGTCAAACCACCATCTGATTTGAAACCCTAAAATCCAAATAAAATAATCAATTACGAGAAATAATATAGGAAAAAGTAAAAAATAGTATCAGGAACCTGAGTCAACTCTAAAAATCTTAGTGCGGTCTCAGCCAACGTGGAGATACACTGTGCATACGTCATCCGCACGAGAATTTCGGGATCGGTCACAAATTTACGTAATTGTGGGAGGATGTATTCTGGAAAAATCATAGCATTCGAAGGGGTGATAGTCTCAACCATCGAAAGCTTTTTTAATATAATTGAGATCAGTAAACATCATTCAATGGACAAAAGGTTACGACAAAAAATTGATGAAAATCTTTTACCAAATGCGTCAAAGTTTTGACTGTATTTGCCCGCACCAAAGCAACTTTATCGCTAAGAAGAGCGATTAGGTAGGGAACAAGTCTATCTAATTTAAATTCGTCTTCTAAATGCTGACCAATAGCCAGCAGCATTTCTAATGCATGGAGTTTTGAGGTTGGATACGCTGTATTTCTGATGGTCGCACAAATAAGAGAAAGGAAAATAAGAGCTCCCCCATCTTTCATTTTTATTTGATAAAAAAATGTGGTTATAATGATAATAACACGATCCAAGAACTTTATATAATACTAGGTACATCACCTGCAGTTTTATTTGCTAAGTTGCTTCCCGATTTCGATGAAACATAATAATTAGGGATGTTTATTTGCATAGAAATTGCGTTCTGTGATATAAAGAAATTTGTAGCTCGTCAACATTATTCGTTAATAAGCAAGCCAAAAAGAAGCAATCAAAGTAAAAAAGACAAAGTCAAAAGATAAACACCGTGTACCGTTGAATTAGATTCTTTTGCTTTTGATATAAAGACGTTTAAAAAGAAAGGTTTTTAATCTTTAATCACTCAAAAAAAAAAACAGAAGATTTTTTAGAGAAAATAAATTTGAAATTACCTGGATATGCTCGTGAAGAGCGCTCTCCTACTTTTCCATCACGACCACCAATAGACACAAGTCCACGACCATCACCGTTTTCGATCTCACCCTCGTAATATTCAGCGTTAATATTTTCCTTTCTATCGGATGGGTTATCATCTCCATAAAAACCAAGGAAGAATGCAATCTTATCAAATTCATGATATATTCTATCTATTTTATCATCCGCATCAGTATTAATTACTGTATTTGGTGCCCCACTTGGGTCCTTAATATGACTAGCAGGTGTATTTGGATCAAGACTCGGGGAATGAGTATTTTCGGTTACAGAACCAATATATTGATGTAAAAAAGTATAAAAATAGGTTGGAAAAGCTGTTCCTTTCCTAACAAACATATAAAAAAATGTCAACGAATACTCGTTATTCTTCAATTCATAAATGCAAAAAAAGTCCTACCATTCTTGTAAGTATTGTTCGGCTGTATATCGTTTCGATGGATCTAAATTTATCATGTGCTTAACTAATGCCTTTTAAAAACAGAATTTGATGATAATTAAGAATAAATAAAGGTAAACGTATTGTTTAGATAAATTAAATAGATCTACATACCCTGATATCTGCGTCTTCGATTTTATTCAATTCAGAACTCGGGTCATATTCCCCACTTCTATACTTGAATAATTGTGCCAATGAAAATATTGCGGTACCCTCTAGAAAAAGCTCGGCGATTACACATCTAGAAGCAGGATAATCTCATTAATAAATAAACCAATAAATCCAAACTTAAAAATTTATAGTACCCTAATGAAAATATGTCCATAGCTGGAGTGACGGCACCATCTTTTTCACCAAATTCAAGTTCTGCCTATCAAAAAATTTCATAGTTACAGTCAATAGAAAAATATTAAAAAAAAAAATACATTAAAGAATCTATTGTCTTAGAAAACAGAAAACATACCTTCCTTCGATCAATTTCACTATGACGTTTATAAAATCTCTCAGGTGCCAGGTAACATATTCGACGCATCGAAGTATCAAAGAAGAATGAAAAATCTGCAGGATTATCCTAAAGCAACAAAATCAGAAATAATTCAATCATTTTTCTTGATGTGAAAACAAGTAGACAAATGAATGTTTGAATTCAAATAACCTCGGGTAAATATGTAGGTTTATATCCAGCAAAATCTGCCAAATACACCCAATTCCACGATGTCACTAACACGTTTTCTGTCTTTATATCTCCATGGTATATCTAGTATGAAAAGAAATATTTAATGAAACATGCTTTATAGAAAACGAGAAGTGCAATAGTTTTTTTCAATTTCGAAAATTACCCCACGTGTGTGTGCATCGTGAACACCGCAAAGTATCTGATATGTTATCCATTTTTTCTCGATCAAATTTAAAAAAGGACGCGTACTACATAATGTCAATATATGCGTGAATATACATATATATATATATATATATATTTATAATCTCATGGATATAAGGGGACGCGTAGATTCAATTCAGAGCACACCTTATTCTATCATAAAGACTACTGAAGAAGTATTGCCTTATCAGGTAGCCAGCCTTTTCGGTTTCGAGTATACGTTGATAGGCAAAAGCATTAGGCACTTCAGATAAATTATCTTTTTCCTCTATATGATTATTAAGTGAATACATGTATGAGAAAAGTACAATAGTTATAAGGATATAATTTATTTGGATTGTAAATTCATTAATTTATTGAAAGGTAATTCATAAATATCTCGAATTGGATGCATCTCCCTAATACTACTTAAGAACCATTTTTCATACACGCCACAAAAAGACAAACCTTCAAGTGCCTTCACGATATGTGACAAAGATAACCCTGGCTCAGGTTTAATAAATATTTTCACCACAACCGCGCTATCCTTGTGTCGCCCACGAATCGTTTTCATAAAGCGCGCACTGCTCAAGCTATTTTTGTAATTGCGATTTGGTTGTTTTTATTATACAGTGACAAACCGTCAAAGTGAAAAACCCAAATCAGTCGAAGCGATACGTAATTCCGGGTGAATTAAATAATTCGATTATAATGAATCGTAAGTACATTGTAAATATAAATTTTACTATATCATGACAACAACTCGCATAATTTAAACGGGAAAACTGATCAATGTCAAACTCAAAAGTTACCTTTTCTCATATTGTATATCTCCGAGTTCACTAACATAGCTGTCAATGCCCGCTGTTGCTATTGAAGCAGCAGTACTTGATATGTTGTTGCCCATTTTGTTGAGTAAAAATCAGCACTATTCGTTGAGAAAGCAAATGGGATAACTATACATATTTATATTTTGATGCAATATGAAGATCATGAAAAACTACACATAGCGATAGGGTCTAATTGTTTCTTCTCTTTCCAATTCAAAAAATTTTATCAAATGACCGAAAAACTTGCAAGAAAAGCTGTCGAGGATCTACTTAGATATCGAGCCTCACTTCAAAGATCTCGCGATTCTTCCTCTTTTTATACAGCCTCTTTTAATGATATAAAGATACCCTTGTCGAATGGCGCCAAAATTATCGATAAAGAGAGCGGGAAAAATACAAAACTTTCGCCAACAAAACGTGGACTCAAAAAAATAAAAATTCAAGTAAGAAATAAACAAGCTCTTGGGGTTATGGAACAGAAGAAAAAAGAAAATCCACTAGGTAATATCAAAACTGACTAATAATGTATGTCACATTTCGCATAATATAACAAACGTTTCGAACAATTGCGAATTTTCAGATAAAATAAGAAAAGAGCAAGAGGAGCGAAAGTTAAATTTAAGTAGCAATAAGAAATATTTTAAGACTCAAAAAATGGAAACTAAGGAGAAAGAATTAAAGAAAAAGGTAAGAATTATTATTGTGGTTATTATTATAATTAACAAATATAAATCTACATACATATGTTATATATATATTTATATATTATATATATATGATTTCTCACTTCTATTGTAGATTCTTAATTTACAAAAGAAAAAACAAATCAAATGAGGATAAAGGTTTAAAAATTGACAACATATAGATTTAATTGTTAATATTCTCTTTTTTGATAACTTGTTGGATTGCATCGAGAACTTGAGAATGTATGTTTGGGTGGGAAGCAACGATACCAGTGTTAGCCTTTAGCTTTCGTCCCAATGAGAAATCTAAAGCTTTGCCGTAAAGATCAGATATGGTGCCTCCTGACTCGTTAACAAGTAAAGAACCAGAAGCATGATCCTATTTTATATTTGAGAAAAGATCTATTAGACGAAAATAATAAACATTAAAAAACATATGGTTCATAATTACCCAAATATTTTCGATGTATTGAACGTTCGTAGGTAATCGTAAATAAATATTTGCATCACCTCTTGAGATACAACAATATTTGCATTGACTATCCACGCGAAATGGTGGTTTGCTGATTTCTAATAAGGCTGCAATTTTTGCTGCGTCATCATGTGAAGAATGTCCCGCTTCAACTGATTCGCAAAATGTTGCCTCGGATGGAGAAGAAATATTCGCAAAATGGATGGGCAGCTCATCCGAAGAAGAAAATTTACGCTAAATTTATTTCTTGTTAATTTGTTTATTTTCTAATTTGGAAATTATAGCAATTTCAAAGTAAAGTTTACTGTTATTAACCTGAAAAGCGCCTTGTCCTTTTACAGCAACAAACAAGCAACCTCTTTCGCTTTCTTTATTTTTCAAATCAAACGGTAAATTAGGACATCCCATTACACCGAGTTCGACTTGACCGTCAATGATCAAGGCAAGGCACACGGCATATTGTTCTCCCCGGAGGAATCCCTTCGTTCCGTCGATAGGATCCAACGTCCACATTCCTGTGATCAAATAATCATTATATAAATGTGTTATAAATATTGAGAAATCTTTTACTTACTTCCTTTTATTCCACCCGGATGAGTTCCTCGATCAATCGCACTCAATAACTGTGTAGTTCGAAATAATATTTTAGTGACAACTTTCCCTTCTTATCGGCGAATGGAATACATTTGATTTAAAATGCAAACTTTGTTTTCATCTAAAGGCACGTCTAATATAGAATTTGTCAATTCGAGAACTTTTTCGCGTAAAGGTTTCCTTTCGTCGCCGCGTAATTCATCGGTATCCTCTTCCCCAACTATAGGGTCATTGGGGAATGTTTTTCCTAATATAGTGTTAATGACTGCTTGTGCACTATAGTCGGCGACTTGAATCAAAAAAAAAAATATTAGCTAGTAAAGTAACCCAAACATTCGGAAATAATTATGCTGAATCAATGATACCCGTAATTGGAGTTTTATCTTTTTTCGTTATTGCCTTTGCGTCTGCTAAATTTCGAAAAACAGCTTGACAAACTTTGCTGGCTTGGAGAACTGCATTAATAGCAGTTGAGCGTTCTAAGGCTAAAACTTTATCGAAAATTATTAAAAAAACAATAAATTTATTAGATTTGGTTCTACTTCCTATTTTATTCGCAGACAGATACCTGACATGGTGAAAATATTGTTCGCGTTGTTTTTTCGTTCTCTTGCTTGTTTCCAAAATAGTGATTTATTCGTTGCCTTATTTGCCCATGTAAGTGCTTCGTCAAACACCACGCGTGATAGCTAATCAAATATCGACAAGATATTAAGACAAAATAGAATAGATAGTGGTTTTATTTAGATTATGATTTAGAATAATACCGGATCTTTGATGTTTTCCAAAAGTTGTATTTCGGATAGATCAATAACATCTGCCTGTAAAAAGGGTCGAATTATCGGATATACTATGCACCAGACATCAGTTACCGGTATTAATTTAGATGCTGACGATATGAAAGCTACTGCGCCTAGAAAAGCAAATCAACAAACTTATTTTAAAGCTCAAACTCCATATAAATAACCTTAAATCGTTTTTATCATCTTACCATATCGTATCCATATACTGGGATGACATAATAAAGAAGAAATAATTCCCACCAATTCCCATATCTTCATTTTCTGAAACAATCCGAGTTCAGCTAGGCTAGTAAGAGAATTTAAAACCTTCTCAACCACAAACTCTTCAGAATCTAGATGTAAATATAAAAGCATCAATTTCAAGATAATATGTAAAATCATCAAAAAATCAAAAATATATACCAGTTAGGGATTGAATCATTAACGGTAAAATATATTCTTCTAAACTACGTCCACCCACAAAAGTTCCCACTCCGATAATGCTTTCAAAGAAGGCGCTATTAATTAAAGAAGAAAATTAGATTATTTACGAGACGTAAAAACGATATATGCAATAAAAAAATTCAAAACTCAATTACCATTTAAGCATCCAATCTCGATCATTTAGATAGGTTATCATATGACTTAACAAAACATCATTCGCCTTCTGTCGACCAAAGAAGATGCAAAGGCTGGTAATATTCTCAAGTAATGCACGTTTCACAGCGCTTTCAGAATCGATTAAAAGAGTCGTAACTTGCTCTTGAATTAAAGATTGCAAATCATGAAGGTTTGCATCATAAGAAGCCTAAATAAAAGACTAGCGTATTAATAAGTAATTTATAATTAACCGGAACCATTTTGTTGAAATTGTTTACCTCATAGGTTCCCTCGATTTCGTTGTCTGTTTCCAGTGTAGTCAAACCACCATCTGATTTGAAACCCTAAAATCCAAATAAAATAATCAATTACGAGAAATAATATAGGAAAAAGTAAAAAATAGTATCAGGAACCTGAGTCAACTCTAAAAATCTTAGTGCGGTCTCAGCCAACGTGGAGATACACTGTGCATACGTCATCCGCACGAGAATTTCGGGATCGGTCACAAATTTACGTAATTGTGGGAGGATGTATTCTGGAAAAATCATAGCATTCGAAGGGGTGATAGTCTCAACCATCGAAAGCTTTTTTAATATAATTGAGATCAGTAAACATCATTCAATGGACAAAAGGTTACGACAAAAAATTGATGAAAATCTTTTACCAAATGCGTCAAAGTTTTGACTGTATTTGCCCGCACCAAAGCAACTTTATCGCTAAGAAGAGCGATTAGGTAGGGAACAAGTCTATCTAATTTAAATTCGTCTTCTAAATGCTGACCAATAGCCAGCAGCATTTCTAATGCATGGAGTTTTGAGGTTGGATACGCTGTATTTCTGATGGTCGCACAAATAAGAGAAAGGAAAATAAGAGCTCCCCCATCTTTCATTTTTATTTGATAAAAAAATGTGGTTATAATGATAATAACACGATCCAAGAACTTTATATAATACTAGGTACATCACCTGCAGTTTTATTTGCTAAGTTGCTTCCCGATTTCGATGAAACATAATAATTAGGGATGTTTATTTGCATAGAAATTGCGTTCTGTGATATAAAGAAATTTGTAGCTCGTCAACATTATTCGTTAATAAGCAAGCCAAAAAGAAGCAATCAAAGTAAAAAAGACAAAGTCAAAAGATAAACACCGTGTACCGTTGAATTAGATTCTTTTGCTTTTGATATAAAGACGTTTAAAAAGAAAGGTTTTTAATCTTTAATCACTCAAAAAAAAAAACAGAAGATTTTTTAGAGAAAATAAATTTGAAATTACCTGGATATGCTCGTGAAGAGCGCTCTCCTACTTTTCCATCACGACCACCAATAGACACAAGTCCACGACCATCACCGTTTTCGATCTCACCCTCGTAATATTCAGCGTTAATATTTTCCTTTCTATCGGATGGGTTATCATCTCCATAAAAACCAAGGAAGAATGCAATCTTATCAAATTCATGATATATTCTATCTATTTTATCATCCGCATCAGTATTAATTACTGTATTTGGTGCCCCACTTGGGTCCTTAATATGACTAGCAGGTGTATTTGGATCAAGACTCGGGGAATGAGTATTTTCGGTTACAGAACCAATATATTGATGTAAAAAAGTATAAAAATAGGTTGGAAAAGCTGTTCCTTTCCTAACAAACATATAAAAAAATGTCAACGAATACTCGTTATTCTTCAATTCATAAATGCAAAAAAAGTCCTACCATTCTTGTAAGTATTGTTCGGCTGTATATCGTTTCGATGGATCTAAATTTATCATGTGCTTAACTAATGCCTTTTAAAAACAGAATTTGATGATAATTAAGAATAAATAAAGGTAAACGTATTGTTTAGATAAATTAAATAGATCTACATACCCTGATATCTGCGTCTTCGATTTTATTCAATTCAGAACTCGGGTCATATTCCCCACTTCTATACTTGAATAATTGTGCCAATGAAAATATTGCGGTACCCTCTAGAAAAAGCTCGGCGATTACACATCTAGAAGCAGGATAATCTCATTAATAAATAAACCAATAAATCCAAACTTAAAAATTTATAGTACCCTAATGAAAATATGTCCATAGCTGGAGTGACGGCACCATCTTTTTCACCAAATTCAAGTTCTGCCTATCAAAAAATTTCATAGTTACAGTCAATAGAAAAATATTAAAAAAAAAAATACATTAAAGAATCTATTGTCTTAGAAAACAGAAAACATACCTTCCTTCGATCAATTTCACTATGACGTTTATAAAATCTCTCAGGTGCCAGGTAACATATTCGACGCATCGAAGTATCAAAGAAGAATGAAAAATCTGCAGGATTATCCTAAAGCAACAAAATCAGAAATAATTCAATCATTTTTCTTGATGTGAAAACAAGTAGACAAATGAATGTTTGAATTCAAATAACCTCGGGTAAATATGTAGGTTTATATCCAGCAAAATCTGCCAAATACACCCAATTCCACGATGTCACTAACACGTTTTCTGTCTTTATATCTCCATGGTATATCTAGTATGAAAAGAAATATTTAATGAAACATGCTTTATAGAAAACGAGAAGTGCAATAGTTTTTTTCAATTTCGAAAATTACCCCACGTGTGTGTGCATCGTGAACACCGCAAAGTATCTGATATGTTATCCATTTTTTCTCGATCAAATTTAAAAAAGGACGCGTACTACATAATGTCAATATATGCGTGAATATACATATATATATATATATATATATTTATAATCTCATGGATATAAGGGGACGCGTAGATTCAATTCAGAGCACACCTTATTCTATCATAAAGACTACTGAAGAAGTATTGCCTTATCAGGTAGCCAGCCTTTTCGGTTTCGAGTATACGTTGATAGGCAAAAGCATTAGGCACTTCAGATAAATTATCTTTTTCCTCTATATGATTATTAAGTGAATACATGTATGAGAAAAGTACAATAGTTATAAGGATATAATTTATTTGGATTGTAAATTCATTAATTTATTGAAAGGTAATTCATAAATATCTCGAATTGGATGCATCTCCCTAATACTACTTAAGAACCATTTTTCATACACGCCACAAAAAGACAAACCTTCAAGTGCCTTCACGATATGTGACAAAGATAACCCTGGCTCAGGTTTAATAAATATTTTCACCACAACCGCGCTATCCTTGTGTCGCCCACGAATCGTTTTCATAAAGCGCGCACTGCTCAAGCTATTTTTGTAATTGCGATTTGGTTGTTTTTATTATACAGTGACAAACCGTCAAAGTGAAAAACCCAAATCAGTCGAAGCGATACGTAATTCCGGGTGAATTAAATAATTCGATTATAATGAATCGTAAGTACATTGTAAATATAAATTTTACTATATCATGACAACAACTCGCATAATTTAAACGGGAAAACTGATCAATGTCAAACTCAAAAGTTACCTTTTCTCATATTGTATATCTCCGAGTTCACTAACATAGCTGTCAATGCCCGCTGTTGCTATTGAAGCAGCAGTACTTGATATGTTGTTGCCCATTTTGTTGAGTAAAAATCAGCACTATTCGTTGAGAAAGCAAATGGGATAACTATACATATTTATATTTTGATGCAATATGAAGATCATGAAAAACTACACATAGCGATAGGGTCTAATTGTTTCTTCTCTTTCCAATTCAAAAAATTTTATCAAATGACCGAAAAACTTGCAAGAAAAGCTGTCGAGGATCTACTTAGATATCGAGCCTCACTTCAAAGATCTCGCGATTCTTCCTCTTTTTATACAGCCTCTTTTAATGATATAAAGATACCCTTGTCGAATGGCGCCAAAATTATCGATAAAGAGAGCGGGAAAAATACAAAACTTTCGCCAACAAAACGTGGACTCAAAAAAATAAAAATTCAAGTAAGAAATAAACAAGCTCTTGGGGTTATGGAACAGAAGAAAAAAGAAAATCCACTAGGTAATATCAAAACTGACTAATAATGTATGTCACATTTCGCATAATATAACAAACGTTTCGAACAATTGCGAATTTTCAGATAAAATAAGAAAAGAGCAAGAGGAGCGAAAGTTAAATTTAAGTAGCAATAAGAAATATTTTAAGACTCAAAAAATGGAAACTAAGGAGAAAGAATTAAAGAAAAAGGTAAGAATTATTATTGTGGTTATTATTATAATTAACAAATATAAATCTACATACATATGTTATATATATATTTATATATTATATATATATGATTTCTCACTTCTATTGTAGATTCTTAATTTACAAAAGAAAAAACAAATCAAATGAGGATAAAGGTTTAAAAATTGACAACATATAGATTTAATTGTTAATATTCTCTTTTTTGATAACTTGTTGGATTGCATCGAGAACTTGAGAATGTATGTTTGGGTGGGAAGCAACGATACCAGTGTTAGCCTTTAGCTTTCGTCCCAATGAGAAATCTAAAGCTTTGCCGTAAAGATCAGATATGGTGCCTCCTGACTCGTTAACAAGTAAAGAACCAGAAGCATGATCCTATTTTATATTTGAGAAAAGATCTATTAGACGAAAATAATAAACATTAAAAAACATATGGTTCATAATTACCCAAATATTTTCGATGTATTGAACGTTCGTAGGTAATCGTAAATAAATATTTGCATCACCTCTTGAGATACAACAATATTTGCATTGACTATCCACGCGAAATGGTGGTTTGCTGATTTCTAATAAGGCTGCAATTTTTGCTGCGTCATCATGTGAAGAATGTCCCGCTTCAACTGATTCGCAAAATGTTGCCTCGGATGGAGAAGAAATATTCGCAAAATGGATGGGCAGCTCATCCGAAGAAGAAAATTTACGCTAAATTTATTTCTTGTTAATTTGTTTATTTTCTAATTTGGAAATTATAGCAATTTCAAAGTAAAGTTTACTGTTATTAACCTGAAAAGCGCCTTGTCCTTTTACAGCAACAAACAAGCAACCTCTTTCGCTTTCTTTATTTTTCAAATCAAACGGTAAATTAGGACATCCCATTACACCGAGTTCGACTTGACCGTCAATGATCAAGGCAAGGCACACGGCATATTGTTCTCCCCGGAGGAATCCCTTCGTTCCGTCGATAGGATCCAACGTCCACATTCCTGTGATCAAATAATCATTATATAAATGTGTTATAAATATTGAGAAATCTTTTACTTACTTCCTTTTATTCCACCCGGATGAGTTCCTCGATCAATCGCACTCAATAACTGTGTAGTTCGAAATAATATTTTAGTGACAACTTTCCCTTCTTATCGGCGAATGGAATACATTTGATTTAAAATGCAAACTTTGTTTTCATCTAAAGGCACGTCTAATATAGAATTTGTCAATTCGAGAACTTTTTCGCGTAAAGGTTTCCTTTCGTCGCCGCGTAATTCATCGGTATCCTCTTCCCCAACTATAGGGTCATTGGGGAATGTTTTTCCTAATATAGTGTTAATGACTGCTTGTGCACTATAGTCGGCGACTTGAATCAAAAAAAAAAATATTAGCTAGTAAAGTAACCCAAACATTCGGAAATAATTATGCTGAATCAATGATACCCGTAATTGGAGTTTTATCTTTTTTCGTTATTGCCTTTGCGTCTGCTAAATTTCGAAAAACAGCTTGACAAACTTTGCTGGCTTGGAGAACTGCATTAATAGCAGTTGAGCGTTCTAAGGCTAAAACTTTATCGAAAATTATTAAAAAAACAATAAATTTATTAGATTTGGTTCTACTTCCTATTTTATTCGCAGACAGATACCTGACATGGTGAAAATATTGTTCGCGTTGTTTTGATTTGTGTTACACTATCATGAGTATATATAAATATTTATCTTAATGTTACACCAACATTTTAAAAGACTGCTTACGAGGAAATTTTGATTCTAAGCTTTCATCAAAAAGACCAAATCTGGAATGTTAATTGAAATTTCCATGGTCAATAATAATTCACCGATACTGCTAATCTCTCATTTGCATCAAATTTTTAGCAAGATTATCGAAGAAGGCACCACATATCCGCAAGAATTTAACAGAAACTTCGTGAATATTTTCTCTAATTTATTGCTATAAAAGTCAAAAGATAAATCAAACAAATGAGGAATTATCCCGGTATCTATACCCAGAGTGAACCTATTTAGGATTCATGTCCCGAAATATAACCTAATTATTGCCAACACATTAAGTTAACTTGTTTTAGTTTATAACAACAATAAAATCTTTTTGGAGCAACAAATCTTTATTCGCACGTTCTCAAGATATGCAATGGAGGTTCATAGTTCCTCCAAACTCGAGAAATCTCGGAGTTGGCAAATCAATGGGTGAAGCATTTCTCCAATTAGCTCCCACTATAGGCTATAAAGGATCAGTTTTCAATCTTGTTTTCGCAAAACAATATATTGCTTCTGTTAGTTAACTTATGGAAATCATTGGTGAGAATTAGATTCGGAAACTCTGATAAGGTTTTTACTTCTAAGATGTAACCGTGTTAAAATAAGAACTTATTGAAGTTGGGCGGATTACAAGAATATGAAGAATTAAACTGATACGACTCGATGAATAAATAATATCATGATCTACAGTTACGTCACGCATGTAGAAAATCTATAAACGCGACAACATTTTTGTAAAAATATAAATATTTTTAATGGCGCGACTTCCATCCAACTCTTCGCCTGCACGAGCATCTACCTCGAGAGATGCTGCAGTGGCCTCAACTTCAAGGACTGCTGCAAGAGGAAGTCCAGCTTCAAAAAATACCCTAGCAGGAAGACGAAGTATAGCACGAAAGTCGACCATTAAAAAATTAAGACCACCACAACCACCCACCTCTTCCCCAAAGAAACAAGCAAGAAGTAGCTACCTTTCTTTTCATTTACTTTTAGTTCATCGAGTTTTTAGTATTTTTCGTACCAATAAGATTTATATACTTGATAACTAGGAACTTCAGGTGGTGTGGGGAGATATCGATATCGGCCTGGTACTATAGCGTTACGGGAAATTAGACAATATCAGAAAACAACTCAATTACTCCTTAGAAAATTGCCTTTTGCACGGGTGGTATGTAATACTCATTATAAATATTTAATTGTGCCCAAAACAAAAAACAGCATTAAAGCTTAAAAAGCGGAGTCAAACGATACTTCTTTAAGGGTAATAATTGTCCCTGGGATTGCTGTTTTGAACGTTAGGTACGTGAAATCGCGGAAGATTTCGTCACCGAAGGCACTGGTTTGAGATGGCAAAGTGCGGCTATAATGGCATTACAAGAAGCTACAGAAGCTTATCTTGTTCACTTATTCGAGGATGCGTAAGCCTTCTTCAGAATGCAATAATATGAGGTTCTGGGATGATGAGGATGAGAGATATTCACTTACACGCTCTTTTCTTTCTCTCCTTTAGAAATCTATGCGCCATACACGCCAAAAGAGTGACTATTATGCAAAAGGATCTACAGTTGGCAAGACGAATCCGTGGCGTATGGGGTGGTCTTGGTTAGAAAATTCAGGAATCGATATTCCTATTTATTATTATCTTCTTTGTTACTATTACTGCTGTTGTTATTATCCTTACAGGATATCGTGATGGTATGCAAAAAAAAGATTCTCCTTGTTTTCTCATATTAAATTTGACTAATTTTCACGGTCGTATCTACATTTTATTAGCGCTCGAGAACTCGAGAAACTTTACAAAATATAGAGACATAGACAAAATTAATGAATGTAAATAAAATATTAACGTTAAAATAAAATTGACACGTATCATCATCACGTGAAATTTGTTTTGCTGTTACCATAAATGATTTTTTCGGGTTATATATAAGAACGCGTTCACGTCTCCAATTTTTTTTTTTTTTTTTTTTACTTATTTACGAGACTTTGATAATTTCCCAGAATACTTCCACCTATCATACAATAATGCAGCGCTCAACCCGCTCAAAAAAGAATTCTAAACTAGCGCAAGTCGCTGACGAGAATTCTTTTGTGGATTTCAAAACGCCAAAACACGCCAAAACACCTAAATTACAAGCGAAGACCCCATTGCAGACGCCTTACCAAGCATTTCAAACGCCTAACAAGAAGTATAACGATAAACCTACAAAGTCTCCGACACGTGCTCTCAAAGATAAGACCAATAAAACACCGTATGTGGGCAACAATCAACAAACCAGTCTTTATCAAGAAACAGCTCATTTGAAAACCGTAAAATTTGCCTTATCAGATTCACATGAGAAAAATGGCTCTGATACGGAATTGATTCATACGATAAAGGCGAATAATAAAAGTGCTCAACGGAGTAAAAATACACCAAAAAATGTCAAGGAAGTAATTTCATTTGATGTGGATGTCGGCGCAGAAAATATTCAAATAAATTCAAATGTCCAAGATGCACTAAATGAAGGGGAGTGGGACGTGGAATATTGTCATCCTCATCAAGAAGGTAATATAAAACGTCTTGTATTTTTTATTTTTTGAGTATATAATTGATTTAATTAATATTTTTTCTATAAAGGATTCCCGTATGAACCAAGCGAAGATATTTGCATCGATTTGGAATATTTCCGCGGCCGACCTACAACGGAGGCGTACGAATTTGAGAATGTTGAATTTAAAGATTTGCCAATAATCGAAATTAACGAGCATGAACTTCGTCTAGATCCTACATCAATCGTGAATGAAAAAGGTGCGAGTTCGGGACTATCTATCTATCTATCTATTAACGAAATAATGTCAAGTGTGATTAACATGATGTTATATTTTCACAGAAATTTACCAAATTCACGATTCTGGATCTATTGAATGGGGTTTTGAAAATTTGTTTGATGAAATATTTGGTCCATTACCACCTGCCGTCTCATCCTATGATAATGAAATTTTCAAATTATGAATAATCCAGCATCATACTCTATATTCTCTTGATGAAGCAAAGAAATCATATATGATTGATTTTTTAAAGCATAGCAATACAAAAAAAAATCTTGAATAAATATGTCAAGATTTTCTGGACTATATGAAGCTTCAATTTTATATATGTATAATTTAAGTAGTATTCCATTTCGTTGTACATTAAATTAGAAATTTTAACAGTCTTTAATTATTACCATTATTTAGAACATGGTAAATATCAGAATTGTTTCGCAAGGGTTCTGGTTCTCCGGTTATTGACCTCAAAAGATGAGCTACGTCAAACCATTCCTCCTCAAAAGCGACCTGTGCTGGCTTTTCATAAAAATTTCATGTGAAAAAAAGTGTAAATTTAGCTATAGCTGACTTGATAACAATTCTCACCGTTTTCCCTTCGACATTTCTGATAAAAGGATCTGCCCCATGTCTTAATAGTAACTGAACGACCTCCACCGTTTCTGCAACACATAATGGGGTATCCCCCTCATTATCACGAACATTCACATCTGCACCATTTGATATTAGTAATTCTATAATTTCTAAATGATTATAAGACACTGCAGCGGCCAAAGGCGTATAACCATTTTGATCTTTTGCGTTTGGTGAGACGCCTCGAGATATTAACTCCTACCAAGGGAAGTCCCGCAATAATTAAAAAAAAATATGCTTTGTATGTTACCTCCCTTTGTAAATGTGTAATCTTGCATTTGTTTTACCTGTACGCGTTCTATTTTACCATCACCTTGTGATCGCGTCAATTATAAATTTAGTAATTAGAAAAATCCAAGGTAACGTGTGCAAAATAAATACATCATCGATATACCAGCAGCGATCCATATATTTATGTCGTCTTCGGTTGGTCTCATCCTTCGTAAAACTGATTTTTTTGCATATCTACTAGTTGACTTACCTACGCGGAGGTTACACGAATATATTAATAATTTCACAATAACCAATAAAGATATAGTAAATTAACCTCATGACGTTTTTTTCAGACTGGGTCCTGTGAACAAATGCGGTGGCATTTTATAGATAGAATTTTCGAATGTACAACACATACAAACATGTACACACACAGGTAGATTTTTCTCACAACAACAATATCTCGTTTTTCTCAAAGCGTGCCATGAGAAATCTCTGCATAAATTTTTATCTCGATTGAATCCTGAATCTTAAAAATGAAATTTATGTGGGACGGCGTTTTGACTTTACATCCAAATCAGGTTAAGAATATATAATTAGGTATAATAGAAATAAAACAAGCATTAGTCCTGCTTTTCTTTTGTTCTTTCCTTTGCGCTAGTTTAATTGGCCAACAACTACATCTTTAGGGGTAAAATCTATTTCTCAGCTGACTCACCTTAAATAACAAGTTATTAATTGAAGGTCGGACACGGGAGATTTAGCTTCGGATCTTACGAATGCGGCTGATATAATGTTTTACAATAATTACGACAATTCCGAGCGTGATTGCATAAACACGATTACAAAAATGATTAAAGATTTACAATGCGTCTTATTTAAAATGCTCGACAATTTCCATTTTTTTTCCACTAGCTGGCTTCACTTTCTGAGCAGCTACTATTGGTGTAACTAATCCTCATAACCTATTATTGAAAAATTTACCGCGTCTTTCTTTCGCGACGACAACTATAACTCATTATTCTTGAACGCCCTTCTTTTCATTTCTCAAAGACCTTAAAATATGACTAATCATACTAATTACCAAGGAGGTATTCTTTCGGGTCATGAACCAACAGAATATAACCCGTCAAACCCTCTTGTATTATTTATCATTCAGGTAGTTAAAATATATTGTATTAACAAGCACGTGTTTACTTACACGTGACCTCGAAGCTCATTTCAATGATAATCCATTCAATACAGGCAACGATTATAATATGTGCTACACGTGGATTAAATTTTATTGCTTCTCATTTTCGTCAACCTCGCGTCATTTCTGAAGTTCTTGGTGGAATCATCCTTGGGCCATCTGTATTGGGGCGCATCCCACATTTCAATGAGACGATTTTTCCTACAAGTTCCCTTCCGTTCCTTAATCTCGCCGCCAGCTTAGGATTGGTTTTATACTTATTCTTGGTTGGCTTGGAATTGGATCTAAGATTATTGACGCGAAATGCCAAGGTTGCATTGAGTATCTCTGCCGCCGGAATGATCATTCCTTTTGCCCTCGGCAGCGCCGTAGGTTATGGACTATATCATCTAAATGATCTTCCCGATGTGACATTTCCCAATTTCTTACTCTTCTTAGGTGTGGCAATGTCGATAACAGTACGTAAATTGATTTATTTTTCTTTGCATCTTAATCATCATTGATTATTTGATTTTATTGTTTAGGCATTCCCTGTGCTTGCCCGTATTGTTACAGAGCTTAAATTAATTCGAACTAAAGTTGGAGTTACGGCATTATGTGCAGCTGTTGGTGACGATGTAACCGCTTGGGTGTTACTTGCTTTGGTTGTATCGATCCTGAATTCATCCAGTACTATTACCGCATTATACGTGTTTCTTCTCGCCATCGCGTGGACATTGATTTTATTCTTTATTATACGTCCTATTTTGCTTCGAATAATTGTGGCGACTGGAAGCGATGTTAATGGGCCTACTGTGACAATGATGTCGCTTACTTTGTTACTCGTTTTGATATCAGCCCTTATAACAGACGCCATTGGTGTGCATGCTATCTTTGGTGGCTTTATGGTCGGAGTTATTATACCACACGATGGAGGTTTTGCCTTGGGTGTTAATGAAAAGCTTGAAGATCTAGTTCATATTGTTTTCTTACCATTGGTGAGTATTTTGGTTTTTTTTTAATTGTCAAAATGGACTTTAATAACCTTGAAATGTAAATTTTTAGTATTTTGCTCTTTCTGGTCTCAACACTTCAATTGATCTATTGAATGATGGTACTGCATGGGGATACGTTTTTCTGGTTATCTTTCTCGCGATGCTTGGGAAGATTTCTGGTGCTACGCTTGTTGCTAGAATTTGCAAAATGACATGGAGAGAATCATTAACAGTCGGTGTTTTTATGAGTTGTAAAGGGTTTGTATGAAATAAATTTGACTTCTCTCGATAATTCAGCCAAAGTAATTAACCCTTAACTTTTATTATATAACCTAGATTAGTTGAATTAATTGTCTTGAATATTGGTCTCTCAGCCGGTGTTATCAGTCCTAAAATTTTTGTGATTTTGGTGGTAATGTAAGTAAAAAAAAAACCGACGATCCTTTGCTTATAATATGCAAAAACAAACGTTTTTAACATCATCTTATAATATAGGGCTATTGTCACAACCTGCCTTACTACTCCACTTGTAACTTATTTATATCCACCTAAATATCATTCATCACCTGGTGGAGAGAACATTGAAAATGGTGGCAAATTAACGATCGAGACCATAGATTCTCGAAGATCAGAGGATACTCTTCGCGAAAAGACCAAACCAAACAAAATTTTGGTGGTTTTGAATAATATCGAATATCTTCCAGCAATGATGACATTAATACAACTTTTACGACCGCTGCGAACATTCACGAAACCGTCAGCGATAAATTTAAGCGAGAAAAAAGAGAAAAGCAGCAAAAGTCCTCAGACAATTGCTGATAATATGCCAATATTATCCCAAGATCTTATCACTGTTAATGCTCTCAGATTGGTCGAACTTACTGACCGTATGACAACTATAATGAAAGGTCATGAAACAGAAGAGACTGTTCTTCATGATCCTATTATGAATGTATTCCGGGCATTTGGACGAATGCATTTCGTTAATGTAAGAGCAAACTTGTCGGTTGTTAGATTTGATGAATTTCCTGGTCGAGTAGCACAAAGTGCCAAAGAAACAACATCTGAACTAGTTATAATACCATGGTCTGGCGCAGGAGCGATTACTGAGGATCCCTTTAACTCCCATGACATTATTGTGGGATCACGTGAGAATAAGAACACTGGCCCGCATACTGCTAGTTTTGTTCAAAATGTATTTAGCGAAGTGCCTACAAATGTTGGAGTATTTGTGGATCGAGGGCTTGGCGTAGTGCCTGGAGGCTTTTCCTTGGAACAGGATTCATCTCTTACTATCAAAGTTTTCTTCCCGTTCTTTGGAGGAGTAGATGATCGAGAGGCATTGATATTTGTCACTCGATTAATAGAACATCCATATGTCACAGCTACTATATTACGAATTAAAAAATCTACTGAGCCAACTGTTAATGACACTTCATTAATTGTCACAGATTCCAATTTTGACTCCAATAATACAGGAAATCAAGACGAGATAACATCAGACGCATTACCAACTCGACCATCGTTAACACATCAAATTTCGTCTGCTACAATACCAATTGTTGATAATAATAAAGTTGACCGAGGAATCTCTGAGGAAGCTGATCAAAACTTGATAACTTCTTTCTTTGGCGTTGGACGAGGTACTTTAATATCTAATTCGAGAATAACATACAAAGAAATTGTTTCTGCCACGCCTATGCAAACTGCAATTCAACGAGCAAAGGAAGTAGTAAGTCGAAAAGATTTAGTGATAGTTGGTCGAGGTCGGGCAAATGCTGCCATAAGTCATCGCGAGGAATGGGTAGAAGTGATCAAGAATATCGGAATGATGGGTTATTCACATGATAATTTGACAAGAAAAACTTTAGGGCTTCTTGCCGAAGGGCTTTTGATTGGTGGTGTGCCGGCAAGTGTCCTTGTAATACAAGGAAAGAAAAATTAATATTATTATTTATTTTGTTTTGATTTCATATGACAGACTTTGTGGGAAGGGGTTGAGGTGTAGGATCTAAAACACTTGTAGCTTATAATTATATTGTACTTTACCTTTTTACGATTTTTATCGATTTTATGACTCCATGTATCAACAAAACTTTTTTCATCTTTTTCTTTTACCATTTTTAATTTACAAAGATTAATACAAAACTTTTTAGTTTACAAATACATCTAATACACGAATCCACTTCATTTCAATCATCCTTTCAAACATACTCCAAAAACGATATGGTTGGGAGATTGATAAAAACATTCTTCAAAAGTTTATATCGAAGGAAATTTCACAATGAAATAAAATCGTTCTTAAAATAACGAAGTAATATAACTTGAGGTCAAATCCCGTTAAATCATAATAATGTACTCCTTTTGTTGAGAATAAAAAAGTACGAAATACATGACCCCGTAAATAATCATGTTTTTATAAATGACATGGAAAAAGGGGGGTATTATAAGTCAATGTCAAATTTTTGTTAATGGCATTTTTCATATTCAAGAATAAATCGCAACAAATCGAAAATTCATTTTATTGCGAAAATTCCAAAAAAAATTCGAGATAATTTATATGTAGTCACGTGACTTAATAATGGAGATTTTCAAATACGTATTTCCAGAGCGTTTGATTTTTTCCAATTCATTCCTTCGCGGTTAGACTAATATTATCGAGCGATGATTTTATTGGTTGATTTTCGTAACCCTGACGACAGGGGACTCGGAAAAATTCTGATATATAGAAATCGGAATTATTATTTCTTAAATTTTACTATATAAAATTTGATTAAAATTAATATAAAAGTTTTATAGTAAATAATTTAATTATTAAACATTTGAATCTTAATATCTTTATAACTTCTGATTTAATTTTTATGAAATTTAGAATATAAATTTATCAAATCTAGGACAACCTGCTTGCATAATTTGAAGTTTTAATATTACAAATTGATAGCAATAATATTTAAAATGTCTTTTTTTTAAAAAAATAATTTTATTTTAGTTTTTTTTAGTAAAGTAATGCTTTATTTATTATTAAATTAAAGTATAATAGAATAA